GTATGAAAGGCAATTTACTTGATCCATGCTCCGCTATGCTTGCTGAACATAAACAGGCCCTAAGCATATGACCCGTTAGGCATTTTTTTAACAGAGAATCTGGTCATCTTTTTTTTTAAATTCATTCTGCCATATGAACACTTGACAAAAAGCTTTAATCACATCAGCGTGAGCTGTCTGGCAAACATGTAATGGACACAGCTTACTTTGAAACTGAGAACACAATACCCATTATCTGCAAAGCAAAAATGTTAAGAGCAATATATGGTGCTAGTTCACAGAGGCTGCCTAAAGCTTAGCCTGAACAGATTTTGGTTTATTAATACAACAAATAATAAATTACAGATAATTCATATTTGACCAGTTACCTGTGGTTCAGGATGCCCTCAACAGGAGCACTTCATTGCACAGTTGTGGATTCTGCTTTTATTTTAGAATCGGTGTATTTTGCAAGGGGCGTGTGTGACAAACTATAGCATGTTTACGAGCCTTAAATCTTTCTTCACTCAAGGCAGCAATGTACCCCCTGCAGTTTACAGTGATACTCAGGACAATTGCACAGCGTTTTTCTAGATTGACAGTCCTTGTCAAATCAGTATCAAAACTGCAGCATCTAGTGCTCTTAATTTTCCAGAAAGGATTAAAACACCCACCAATATTCAGCATGAAGAACTGCTACTTCCATCTAATGGTTCAGCAATTTGCCTTAGCGCTACAGCATTTAGCCCAAGGACAGAAAATAAAATATTAAGCCTACCCTGCAGTATTGTTCTGTTCTCTGCTAAGATGAAACTACAGTGTTTTGAAAATGTCTAATTACATATGTGCCTAAGAGCCTAATGATTAGAAAATTAATTCAGGGATGTAGAATACCTAGATGAAATCCCTGGAGTGACATGTGACTTCGTCCTGTGCAATGTCCTATCAGGCCAGTCATAATTTGCATTTGGAATTGTGCCATATTACATGAACAAATATTTACTAGAAGAGGGACATCAGCTTAGGGCTCGTTATACTCTAGTTGCCCCTACCTTACATGTCTCCTGTTGAAAGTTTGGCTGATATGCTCCTAATAGTTCATGGTGAATCAAAATTTCACACCAAAAGATTTTTTAAAAAGTAGTTAGTTCAAGGGGCAATGGGAATAGATTCTTTCTTATTTGTGCTTCCCACACAAGTAAGTTCTTACTTACTTGTGCTTTTACTGATTTAAAACTGTAAGTAAGTCAGTGCTTTAGAGTAAGAGTGTAAGAATTTAGAGTAATGTTCTTTTGAATAAGAAAAATTATAACATGCTTGTATTATCTAATGGGGACAGAGAGCAAAGAGACAAATACTGTTTGTTAAACCGTTATCAGTCCCTACAGAAAAATGTCCTTCATGAAGAAGTATAACAAATAGAAGTAATATTATAATTTTTTGATAAGATAATTCCCTGCTCTTATTGTACTGTGACTTGAACCACCTTTTTACTTTAGAGAAAACAATACAAAACTAAAGAAATAGTCAACTTCTCTGTACCACTGTTTAATATGCTTTTCTTCAAATAATTACTGAGAGGTTTTTGTAGTGGAACTAAAAGAACAGGCAGCATAAAAGTATACGGCTATTTTATGTCAAAAATAGACTTCCTAGTACCTGTTATATGTGTTACTATATGAAATACTTGACATTTTACATCACACAACATATGTTTTACCAGGAAAGTAGGATCTTCTTGGGGCTGTGTGTGTATTTTCCCTAACTAGCAGACTAGACTTTGATTAAGTACTAATATGAAACTTATGCTTTGCAATCCAATTAGTATCCCGGCTTCCATTAATTTTGCAGGAATTATGATAAGCTCATGTCCCTGTTCATTAACCTTAAAGAAATGACACCTCCTTTATAATCACAGACTGATGCTATGGCGTCTTTTTATTTGTTGTTGATTCTAATTTTAGAATTTAAGAAAGAGCAAAACAATTTAGTGAGCCATAGTAAAACTTGAAATGACCAAAATGCAAACTATTTGGCTGAAAACTAAATATTGGTCATTAACAGCTGGTAATGATTAATACACTAGGCAAATTATTATTGATTTTAATTCTGATGTGTCTACGCATTTCCATGATAAAATTCAGACTCTTGAAGGAAATGAAGGATCAAAATCACAAATACAGTAAAAAATAATCTCAAGAATGATAAATCTTTACCTAAATAATTTAAATGTTTACTGTTCTGCAAGCAAATGTTCTAAATATTGTTATTGTGCAAAGCCTATTGTAAATTTAGGTATTTGTTTTTTGACTATGATAAGGGTTATGATAATATTCAAATTTTTATTCCATTCATGAAAAAGAGTACAGTTTGACAGAGAAAATAAGCAGTTAAGCTTGCTGCAAGCAATCTGAATTTTTACGTTTCTTTTTGGCGTGCTCCAGAAATGTGTGTGGAGACTGAAAACTCTGTATGTGGATCCTCTTTCCTACAGCAGTTAATCTAATCTTTCTGCAATAGGTTTGATGATAGGATTCTCTATTGGCTTTTGTATCAAAAGGCTACGGAAGGAATTGCTGTTGTTTAGCTGCATACAGTGTGTACTAAGTGTACACCCTCTGGAAAGTTCTCCAAAATACTGCCTATGGATAGTCCAAAAATATTCCTGCTTTAAGAGGCACTCCTGCATTTCAAAAGTGCAGCTCTATCAAGGCTACACTGTGAAAGAGAAGAGTGGAAGTTAAGCACAGGGCCTTTGAGCAGCTTGCTACAGTAATTTTATTAAAAAACAACTCTTTAAAAAAAATCTAGTTCCTAAATTTCCCACTTTTTTTTTTCTTTAAAGGAATATATAAATTATATATATAGCCAGTATAAAAACACAGTAATATTAGACTCATCTAGGTATTAAAGGTTATGATCCTCATTGTGGCAAAGGCTGAAATGATCCAGTTACGGTTGCTGTTGCTTGCTACTGATAATTCTCAGTAGTATTTGACTAAAGCAATGATAACTATGCCATTTTAACTGAAAAAAGGAAAGGAACAATATTTAAAGTTAAAGCTTAACATTTGTGGAATGCAGAACGATGTCAAAGAGTTGCTCAAATCATCATAAACTCTGCAGTACTCTTATACCTGTCACTCTGTCTTCTGCTTTGGATGCTCCCAACACTGTTTCAAACAACTGCATGGCTATTTCTGCACCGTGTCTTGTGAGAATCAGATAATTGGAAGAGTTCCTTGATGACCACTTAGGTGAAGGAGACTGGTTTTTGGGTTGCTATAAATTGTGGAAACTCCTAAGTGGTATTTGCGTATCTATGAACTGCCTTGTTAATAACTTATTCAAACTGATGATGTGCCTCCAGTTCTGTGCAAAATTCCACCAATTTTGAATTCTGTACACCAAAAACCGAGTACTTTTTATGGAGAAAATAATTTCAGCTTTTTATTAGAAAAGGGTGGTTCAGCAGATAAAAAAAAATGTTAAGTGGATCTGAACGCTCTCCTGAGAGGATCAGGGGAGGAGGGTTATGTATTGAGCAGAGTAAGAATGGAGTAGGCCAGGCCTGCATGAGATATTTTTTCATACTACAAAATTGGAAATGATGACTGGAACCATTTGAAATGTTATATTATAGTGTATTACGGAATTCTACTATTGGGAGGATAATTGTATCTTTGCAGATGGTTTACCAAAACAAAACTTCAGAGGAGAGTTCTGAGTTATGTCAAAACAAAGCAAAACAACCCCTCACCTAAATTATATTGTGTATGTAATATATTTCTTCTGGTATTGGTAAACTCTAAAAGGATCACTGAATACATTCCTTCAGTTGTTTACTTCC